CTCTTCTTCCTCCCCCTCCTCCTCCACAGTAACCATCTGTTCTACTTTGCTCTCTATTGCCGTGAGAAAGTATTGACTAAAAGCAACTTGGGGAGGAAAGGGGTTTTTCCACTTATACTTCCAGGTTATAATCTATCATTCAAAGAAGAAACTCAGAAACAGAGGCAGGAACCATGCAGAAAAACTGCTTACTGGTTTGTTTGCTTGCTCTGACTATGCTCAGCTACTTTTTCTTTCTTTCTCACTTTGCTCTCTATTGCCGTGAGAAAGTATTGACTAAAAGCAACTTGGGGAGGAAAGGGGTTTTTCCACTTATACTTCCAGGTTATAATCTATCATTCAAAGAAGAAACTCAGAAACAGAGGCAGGAACCATGCAGAAAAACTGCTTACTGGTTTGTTTGCTTGCTCTGACTATGCTCAGCTACTTTTTCTTTCTTTCTCTTCTCTCTCTCTCTCTCTCTCTCTCTCTCTCTCTCTCTCTCTCGGAGAGCCCTAATGCAGTCCCCCACTACCACAAATTATGCAGTGGAGTTTCACACATTTTGGGAAATAGCAGGGGTCAGCAGTCCCAAGTGCAATGGATGAGCCTTGCCCGGAGAAAACCACCTTCCTCATGGTGTCTCCCTTGCCAGGTTAAGTATCAGCTACTTCTCTTACACAGACCAGACCAACCTGCCTAGGACTGTACTGTTCACAGTGCTCTGGGCCCTCCAAAATCAATTAGTAATCAAGAAAAGTCCCAGACATATCCACAGGCCAATCTGATCTAGGAAATCCCTCGGTTAAGGTTCCATCTTCTAGTGTGTGTCAAGTTGACAATAAAAACTAACCAGTATAGCATTCTAAAGGGAATGACATAATAACTTAATTTTTATACTGCTGATTTTTGTATGTTTTTATTTATTTTTATTAAATTTTAATTAATTTTGTGTTTTTTAAAGAATTTTATACATGAGTACTGTATTTATATCATTTCCATCCCTCATTCTTCCCCTCTAAATCCTCCCACATCCTGCCTACTCCCTCTCAATATCTTGACCTCTTATTATTTTATTTATTTATTTATTTATTTATTGTTATACAGGTGTGTGTGTGTGTAAACAACCTACTGTGTTCATTTAGTGTTGCTCACACATACATGTTTAGGGATGACCACTTGGGATTAGTAACCCCTGGAGTAAGCTTTTTTTTTCTCCTTTCTTAGCAGTCATTGATTGCCTGTGGCTCTTCATCTGGAGGTGGGATCTTGTGAAATTTTCCCCCATTCACATTGCCATGGCAGATGGTGTTGTCATTATGCAGGTCTTGTTTAGGCAACCATATTGTTGAGATTTCATGGGTATGGCTTCCCTGTTGTGTCTCAAAGACACTATCTAGCAGCAGAAATCCTGGTCCTCTGGCTCTTAATCTTTCTGCTTCCTCTTCTGCAATGTTCTCTGAGCCTTAGGTGTAGGGATGGCATTTTAGATGTTTCGATTGGGATTGGGTACCCATGGTCACTTATTGTCTGCATCTTGACCAATTGTGTCTTTTTATAATTGTCTCCATCTGTTACAAAAACAAGCTTCTTTGATGGGGGGAGGTGAGAGCTACACTTATCTGTGGGTTTAAGGATACATATTTAGAAAATGATTAGAAATTGTTTTTATTTAGAGAAATAGCAGAAGTAGATTCTCTTCCAGGGTCTATGACTGTACAACCACAGGTATTTGAATGGGTTTACAGCATCAAACATGAATTCCTCTCTATTGAGCAGGACTTAAATCTAGTTGGTTATCCCCAAGATAAAAGTGCCATTATTGAACCATTTGGGATATTGTGATATAAGTGCTCCTTCTGTTTCTATTTTTTAAAAAATAATTTATGAAAAAATAGTTGTCCTTTTTGGAAGGTATAGCAGAATTCTACTGTGAATTCATTTGGACCTGGGATTTAATTTTTTTTAATTTTTAAAAAAATATTTATTACTTTTATTTTATGTGTAAGAGTATATTGTCTGCATGTATGTGAGTGCACCCATGTCGTGCAATGCCGCAGAGGTCAGAAGAGAGTTTCAGATTCCCCTGGAACTGGAGTCAAGGAGGGTTCATAGCCGCCATGTGGGTGCTATGAATCGAACCCAGGTCCTCTGCAGGAGCAGTCAGTGCTCTCAACCACTGAGCCATCTTTCTAGCCCCTGGACCTGGGATTTTTATTATTGATTCAATCTCCTTATTTGTTATGGGTCTGTTTAAGTTGTTTATCGCTTCTTGGTTTAAATTTAGTAGTTCAAATTTCTAGATGGATTCTAGAAATCCATCCATTTCCTTTATTCTACTTTAATGCAAGATAGGTTTTTAAAGTATTTCCTTATAATGTTATGAATTTCTTTGGCGTCTGTTGTAATGTTTCCCCTGTCATCTCTGATTCTGTCAATTTGGGTGTCCTCTTTCTTTCTTTGGTTAATTGAGACAAAGATCTTGCTTTTCTTTTCAAAGAACCAGCTCTTAAATTCATTGACTTTTTAAAATTTTCTTTGTTTCTATTTCATTAATTTCTGCCCTGATTTTTATTATTTTTTCCCATATACTAGATTTGAGCTTGTTTTTTTTCCAGTTTTCCCAATTCTTGAGTTGCATCATTAAGTCATTTATTTGTGCTCTTTGTGTTTTTCTTTTTCAATATAGGTGCTAAGAGCTACAAAGTTCTATCTTAGTACTCATTTTACTATGTCCCAGAGATTTTGTTGTACTGTGTTTTCATTTTATTTAATTCCTGGAATTTTTATCCCTTTTTTCGTGTCTTCTTTGATGCATTCATTATTCAATAGTGTGTTGCTTAATCTTGATGAGATTCTTTTATTATTAGTTTTAAGCTTTAATTCATCGTGGTCAGATAAGCTACACAGAGTTATTTCAGTTTTTCTGTGTTTGTTGAGGTTTGTTTTGTTTCCCAGTATGCAATCTATTTCAGAGAATTTTCTTTTTATTTTTTTTTAATGTATGAGTGTATTGCCTGCATGTATGTAAGTGCACCCATGTCATGTAGTGCCTGAGGAATTAGGATGGTGGTTAATGGTCATGTGGGTGCTGGGATTCAAACCTGGGTCCTCTGCAAGAGCAACCAGTGCTCTTAACCACTGAGTCATCGCTCCAGTTCCATTTTAGAGAAATTTCTATGAGCTTGCTGAGGAATGTATATTCTTTGGTGTTTGGGTGGACTATTCTGTATATATCTGTTAGGTCCATTTGATGTGTGAAGTGCTTTTCTGCTTATTTTCTGTCAGGATGACCTGTTTAGTGAAGAAAATAGGGTATCAAATCATTTATTATTACTGAATTTGGGCTAACTTTTGGCTTGAAATCTAATAATGTGCTTTTTATGAAACTGGATGTACCAGAGTTTGGTGCATATATATTTAGGATTGTCATGTCCATTGATCAGATGAAGTGTCCTTCTTTATCTCTTCTGATTGATTTGGATTTGAAGTCTATTTTGTCAGCTCTGAGGATAGCAATGCTTGCTTGTTTCCTGGACCCATTTGCTTGGAATACTTTTGTTCATTTTTTCATTATAAGGTGGTGCCTATCCTTGAAGGCAAGAGAACTTTCTTATAGACAACAAAAAGATGAATTTTGTTTCTTAATTCATTTAACTAACTTGTATTTTTTGATTGGGGAGTTGAGGCCATTGACGTTGAAAGTTATTATTGAAGTAACTTTAAGTGTGTTGTTTGCTGGTTTTTTGTTGTGCTGTTTGTGTTCTCAGTCCTTTTTTGTTTCAGTAATTACAGCTTCATTTCTTTTCTTTTTTTTAATCTTTTTGAGACAGGGTCTCCCTGTAGCCCCAGCTTGCTTGGAACTCACTATGTAGACCAGGCTGGCCTTGAACTCACAGAGATCTGCCTGCCTCTGCCTCCCAAGTGCTGGGATTAAAGGCGTGCACCACCACGCCCGGCTGATTCATTTATTTTCGTTCTGTAGCCTCTTCATTTTGTTTATTCTTCTCTTCAGTCTGTAGTTTTGCTTCCAGTGTTCTCTGTAGGGATTGTTTGGTAGACATGAATTCTTTCAGCCTGTCTATACCATGGAAATGTTTCCTTTCTCCTTCAACTATGACAGATGATTTTGTTGGGTAAAATAGTATGGGTTGGCATGTGTGGTCTTTAAAAAGCTGGAGTCCATTGCTCCAGGCTCTTCTGGCATTCAAAGTTTCCATTGAAAAGTCAGCTGTTATTCTGATGAGTTTCATTTATGTGTAACATGGTTTTTTCTTCCAGTTTTCTTTGTTCTGTATATTTAGTGCTTTAAATATAATATACTTTGGAGACTTCCTTTTTGGATCCTGTATATTTGGTGCTCTTGGTGCTTCTTGTGCCTGTATTAGTATGTTCTTAATTTGGGCCCATTTTCTTCAATGATCCTTTTGAAGATTTGGTCTATGTCGTTGACCTGGTATTCTTCTTCTATACCTATAACTCACAGATTTTGTCTTTTCTTTGTGTCCCAAAGTTCCTGCATGCTCCTTTCTTATGTTTAAAGAAAACTTTCCATATTCTTTGAGTGGTCCAATTCCTCTACTTATTCTCAGTTACTGATAGTCTGTCTTCTGCTTGTTCCATTCTACTGCTAAGGCTTCCCTTGTTTTCTAACTGGGTTATTGATGTTTTCAATTCCATCTTTATTTCAGCTTGAATTTTCTTCAGTTATTGTATTGTCTTCATTATTTCATTCAGCCGTATATTTGTAGGTTATTGAACCTCACTCTGGAGTGCATTCCCATCTTCTTCAAGTTCGTTGAGGTGTTTGCTTGTGCTTTCTTTAAACCCCTCAAATTCTTTGATCATGTTTATGATTGTTCTTTTGAAGTCTGTGTTCTAGAATTCATCTAAGTAAATATCACTGTGCAATATTTCTATAGGACTAGTGTGTTTTGAGGGGGCAGGCTTTCATATTGTTTGTGCTTTTGTGATATGACTTGAGAATATGGATTTCTTTTGCTCTTTGTGTGTCAGATATGAGAGTCTAGCCTGCCTCTGTTGAGTGGAAGTTTGGTCAGTTTTTATTGTTGTCCAAACTTGGTAGGTTTCAGATCAGATATGAAGAGTTGGTATGTCAGTCCTTCAGACACTCTGCTGATTTTGAATTGCAGGGACAGGAATTATTCCAATCCTAAGAAACTATGTAAATGTAACTCTTGATTGGGTCTGCCTCGGTTCATGCACAGGTAGTTTAACTCTAGCTATGCCTGGGGGTGTGGGGACAGGAGTAAGGGCAGGCAAGGTTCTGTAAAACTGACCATGTTGGACTCTGGGGCAGGAGTAGTGTGACCTGAGCTGAGACTGGGATGGTGAAGAGGGAGAGTTGGGAAATTCACCAGCTTGGTCTGGTGCACAGGCTGAGTGACCCCAACTTGGCCTGGGAGTGTGGACAGCAAAGAGGAAGAGGGAAGACTAGTATTCCTTTATTTTTAAACAAAAAGCTAAACTTACTGAAGCCCTATTATGTACCAACTTAATCCTAGCCTCACATTTTTCTCAATCTCTTGAAATTTGGATTAAAATTGTCTCATTTTTGTGATGTACAGGGTTTTGTTTCCAAGACTAGATGAGAGACTATAAAATCTATTTAAATTCTGAGCCATGCTTGCTAATGAAGAGTTACTCTTTCCATGGTAAAAGCCATCCTACCTGACAATCCAGGTCTGAGAAACACCTGTCTCTAGCCAGAGGGCAGTGGGCCACTTCTCTCTGAACTACAGTTAACCTGCTTATGGCTGACATTTCTGTTTCATTTTTATCAGCTTTATTATAATGTAATTTATACTTGAGTTAAAAATCCGGTGAGTTTTGACAAATCTTTACTGAAATCACCAGCAGATCATGATATAGAATATTTTAAGAAGTTCTTATTTGGCCTTGGTCTTAAAAAAACTTCATCGAATTTCTGCAAATTTCATGCAACATATCTTGATCATATTTAGACCCCCTCCCCTATCTACACCCCCCATGCCTCCCCCACTGAATTTTATGCATTCTATCATCATATATGTTCAGGACTATCTAGCCAAATTTGTGTCCTCAAAATGTACCTAGATGTGAGCACATCCACTGGAGCCTGGTCACTCCCCTAAAGAAAACCACCTCTCCCTGTCTGAGTAGTCATCATCAATCGACAATGGTTTGGCAATAGCTAAGATTGGGACTTCTTACTCATTTCCCCATTTGATTCTGGGTTTCTGTATGGTTTGAGCTTGCATAAGTCTTGAGCATGTTGTCACCATTGCTATAAGCTCATATGAGCAAGTTCCTAGCCTCCTGGAAAACTCTGTTTCCTTGTGGTCATCCACCACCCATAGCTCTTATAGTCTTTCTGTCTCTTCTTTTGTGGTCTCTCTATGACAGAAGTTTGACATAGGTGTCCTACCCAGGAGCAAACACTCTATAGGCTCTTATTCTCTGCACACTGGCCAGTTGCGGCTTTCTGGATTGTTCACCATCTGTTGCATGAGGAATCTTCCCTGTTAAGAGTGAAGAGATGCATTACTATTCTTTCTGTCCCCTCTTCAGCTATGTTCCCTGAGCCTTAGGCTTAGAGGTTGCATTGTAGGTGTGTCACATAGGGCTGTGCATCTCACAGACCAGTACTGTCTGCATTTGACCAATTGTGGAACTCTTTCATAGTCTCCATCTGTTGCAAAAAGAAGCTTGCCAAGAAAATGGAAAAGAACAATTGGGTAAAGAGGGAAATGGAGCTTGAGAGAGGAGGCTAGTAGAAGATAGGTACTTTCAAGGGGAAAAGAGAAAATGGGGGTACTTTAACTGGAGACAGAGGTGGGGGATTATATAAGGTGCGAGAGAGGAGAGATAAATGCTTAGGTGATATGAAAAACCAGAAGAAATATATTAGTTCAAAGCCTACTGAGAAATTCTCTCTCTCTCTCTCTCTCTCAATGCCGATATCACAGAAAACAGTGTCAGTTAGGAGAAACCTCCCTTTGACCTCTATCTTAATTCAATAGAACTGTAGGATGTGTGTACTGCTGTCTATAGTAGCATAAGCTACTGTTCATAGACTATAAACTATACCATTCCCATATCTGTATTCTTGCTTATGACCTCTGTCTTATTGTTAAAAGACTTCTTGGAAGACGAAAAGGAGATGAGACTAGGGAGATGGCTCAGTTGGTAAAGTGCTTGCCATGCAAGCACAGGACCTAAGTGCCGATCCCTATTACCCACATAAAAGTGGGGAGTTGGAGACAGGTAGGTCACTCGTACTCACTGGTCAGCCAGCCTAGCCAGTCAGTAAGCATCATGTTCAAGGAGAGATTAAAAAAAAACTTTTATAGGGGAAAGCAGGAATGCAGTCACCCACTATCACAAATTGTGTGGTTGAGTTTCCTACATTTGGGGGAAATCAGATGGATCAGCACATCTGGAGTGAAATGGATAAGCCTTGCCACGGGAAAACCATCTTCTTGATCATAGTATGTCCCCTGCCAGCTGAGTATGTCAAGGACAGATCTTGTCTCAAAAATTAAGGTGGACAGGGATTGAGGGAGACACCCAACACTGACCTTTGGCCTCCACACCCACATGCAATACATGTACACATGCAGTTACACATGCACACCCCCACATGAATACATAGCACACCACATACACATACACCCCCCCACACACACACACCCACACAGAGATGGGAAAGGTGTAGAGAGAAGTTATGAGGAGAGGAAAGAATGTATTTGTTCTGACTATATATTTATATAGGAATGTAGGCTGTTATGGAGGTTAGTTTTCATTGTCAACTTGACACAATCTAGAATTACCTGGGAAGGGAGTCTCAAAGAGGAGTGATTGGCCTATGGAATATCTGTGAGGGATGTTCTTGACTGGGTTAATTGAAGTAGACAGACACAGCCTGAATAAAGTAGCATCATTATGGGCTGAGCCCTGGACTGAATGAAAAAGAGGAAGCTGAGCCCTAGAATGCATCTTCTGTGTTCCTGATTATGGCTGTAATGTGACCAGGTCCCTCAAGCTCCTTCTGCTATGATTTCTCTGCTATAATGGACTATAACCTGGAACTGTGGGCTGAAAAAAAATCCTTCCTTGGGGGCTGAAGAGATGGCTCAGTGGTTAAGAGCACTGTCTGTGATTCAGTTCCTAACACCCACATGGCAGTTAAAAATTGTAACTCCAGTTCCAGGGGAATCTGATGCCCTCTTCTGGCCCCCATGGGCATTATATGACATGGGTACACTTACATGCATGCAGGCAAAACACTCATACACATAAAATAAAAATAAGCCGAGCATGGTGGCGCACACCTTTAATCCCATCACTCGGGAGGCAGAGGCAGGTAAATCTTTATGAGTTCAAGGCCAACCTGGTCTACACAGTGAGTTCCAGGCCAGCCCCACTACAGAGAAACCCTGTCTCTCTGGTCCCCTGCCCAAAAAATTAAAAATTAAAAGGAAAATGAAATAAAAATAAATAAATAACCCTTTCTTCCTCAAGTTGCTTTTGTCAGGGTAGTTTATCACAGCAACAAGGAAACCAAACTGAGATAGCTGTCATCACCTGGTAGATGGCTTCCTCCATCTGTGTGGTGAACAGCTTTATGCTTGTGGTCTGAGTAATTCACCTTTCTTTTATAGTATTGGCCCTTGCATTGGGCCTATAGACTTGGAAGTAGGTTGGCTTGTTTTCTTTTCTTTTTTTTATTTCTTCTTTTTCTTTTTCCAGAGATGGAACACTGAAATGTTCCCACTTCCCTCATCTTGATCACTAATCAACTTTGAAATGTCACTTCTCAATGGAGATACATTTATGCTGCTCACATCAAATTTATTTATTTTCTAAGAGTTTTGTTTTCACTTAACACACATAGTCTTGAGCATTTACTAGATGTAGGGTACTTATTTGTTCTTCCAAGAATTTCACTTTATGTCCAACAGACCCTTTACTCATTGTATTATGCTTAGAGTTCAACCAGAGTCTAAGATTATTTCCTTTCCTCTCACCACCTAGCACTTCTGTAGTAACTCTCCAATCCTAGGAGGTATTTATGACTATTTCTCTTTTACCTAAAGACTTATGGTGTTCTATAGTTCAGGCATGGCTTGGGATTTGTCACGTTTCTTTTGTCAGTTTTCCTCCCAGGCTGTTATTGACCTTTATGTGGTTTTTCAGTTTCCATTTAACTGTTTTAGTTAGAAGTCCATTAAGTTGCTTTGGAATATATATTTCAAAGTTCTGTCCTAAACCTGTTGGTTTGCATACAACTCAATTCCATCTTGGCATTTCTGAAGGGTCTCTGAAGGGTCACTGTTGGGAACTAATTCTAAAATGTTGTCTTATGTAAAGTTCATTCAAGTAACTGGGTCTGTAACACCTATTTCCCCCTGAAATCATAATAGTTCTTTACATCTAACAGGCTCTCAATAATATTTAAGTGTGTAAGATTTTAGAACTCAGAAGAACCCATAAGCAATCAAAGAAAGATAAGTGGAACTTCATGAAAGTTAAAATTTTATGCTTCAAAGAACATTATAAAGAAAATTAAAAACAGTCCTAGAATGTGAGAAAATATTTGCGAACTCTATGTTTGACAGTGGTTTAATGTGCAGATATACAAAGGCTTCTTACAACTCAATAGCCAAAAGACAAATAACCCAATTAAAAATGGGTGAAGGGTTTGAATAGACATTACTCCAGAGAGGTATATAAATAACCACCAATTACATGAAAAGATATTTAACATTATTAGTCAATGGGGGAAATGCAGTACCAAGCCACAATAAGAGATCTCGTCATCCTGACTGTGGTGACTGAAATATAATTTTTTTAAAATTTTTATTTTATTTTATTTTTTTGCACTATTCTGGACTGTTAACAT